CCAGGGAGGTGAAGTTACTCAAAGTGGTGAGCAGTTACCCACGTGGGTAGCCAATTCACCCCAGGCAGAGCCAGCACAAAAATGATGCATCCTTTGCAGTCCCACTTAAACTCTCAAAATAAAACGTAAGTTGTGCATAGGTCTTGTGCTGGGTCCGCTGCACGGGATTGAGTTCCGCCCTATTGTATGGGGCTTTCAAACTGGCCTCACACACAACACCGGGAAATTCCAATCTCTTGACCAGAAAATTTGTTTTCTTTTATCTTGGGGTTCTGTGCTGTCACCCGTCAGCAGCTCACACCGATGTTTTATTTCCATTAACTCGGCACAAGTAAGATCAATCCACAAAACCATTTAAAAAAAAAAGAAAAAGTCAGGCCCAGTCCTACAAGGTGCTAAGCATTCTCAATTCTCGTTGGCTTCACCGCGGATGCTCACTCAGCAGCCAGCTGCAGGCTCTCTGTGCCTCACAGAATGGGGCCCTGATTTCCTAGCTGAAATGCTGCTCTTGGATCAAACTAGCGGCAACCCTGGTTTACACTCAGATGGCTTTAGGTGTCAGCGCTGTACTCAAACTGATGGGGAACATCGATGCTCTCACAAATATTAGATCACTCAGGAGATGAATTGGAAACCAGAGCCCAGCTCCCACAGATCACAATGGGGATGCTTTGGTTTTTTATTTAACATGACCCTCCCGAGGCAGCACTGACGAATAATTAAACATTTACAGCCTGCCATATTGGATTGCAATAACTGTGCGACATGAGCCTGGGTGCTGATTTAATGCTCGGAGAAGGAGCTGTGTATCAGCCACAGAAAAGGCTCATTATCTCGTCAAAGCAGTTCCTTTTCCCTCCCAATATGCTACACGAAGGGATGAATAATTCAGCCGGGACTTGCTTTAATCTTGTGGTTCAACTCTTCCCCTATCACCGCTACTATTGCTCCTGCTTCGGAGGCATTCTTTGGGCATGGCTTTTCCTTTCACCACATTTGATCGCTGTCCTAAAGCCAGCCAGCTAGCTCCGAAAGCACGGTTCACTAGGCTCGGCTGGGTACGCGCAAGATCCATGCTGCCTGGCCCCCATGACAAGGTCTGCTCCCCATGCTGGTCTAGAGCAGACAGTCCCCGCTGCCGCTTCTGAGACTGTCAATTTCAGCCAACCATTCTGTCAGCAAACTCTGCTAATAAGTAGGGGCGGCATTCTCCTCCCCATGCCGCACGAGGCCTACGCATCACCTACGTCCTCAACATAAGTGATGCTAGTCCCGCTCCACAAGGGCCAATTGCCTCCTCAGAGCACGTTCATAACTTTCTCCATCAGGGAACGGCTGCTGTGTTTAGATCACACAAACAGATGGCTGGGAACAGAGAGGGATGTTCACCTGTCACAATGTGTTACCCTTGCAGATACGCTATCTGCGCCAGGAGCTCCCTCTTTGTGGCAAACGCTCACAGCTCTGCAAAACAGGCAGAACCTAGGATATTAATGTGCCCCCCTCTGCCCCACCAGCCCATGGTGTCACACCGTCTTCACCTATGCCAGAGCTTTGTTTAGATCTGCCAATGCCACAGCCCAGTTTCAGTGTAGGGCTTGGAAGAGTCCCAATTTTGTGGAATGGTCCTAGGCATAACATGGGACAGTGAGGCCAAGGGCCATCCAGGTGCATCAATCTGGTTCCTAGGCAGAACCAGCCGAGCACAGAACAGGGAGGGCCCCGTTGACCTACTCTGGGATGAGACCTAGCAACCAGGTCCTCCCCCCTCCGAAGCACTCTGTACAGGAGAAAGAAAGGGAAAATCCATCGTCCACTCACAGGTGGAGAAAAGGAGAAGGGATGGGGGTGGGGGGGCTTGGAATGTAGGGACTGCAATAATAACCTTGTTGAGCTCCCTGCAAGCCCTAAATCCTACCCTGACTCATGCTGCATGAATTTTGGGCTGTGATGGGAGCTGGAAGGGCAGAGCACCTCCAATCTACAATAGTCAGTAGTATCTTGCTGAATGTGCAAGACAGAAGCAGTAGGATAACCAGCACCTGATCCTGTGAGACGCGGAAAGCCATGGGAAATGAGGGCACACAGCACCTTTGTCCATCTTTTGTCAATATCTGTTTAACTCAGATGCATGAGAAATACCTGGGGGAACAAGAGGTCTCTGCTAAAGAGTCAAACCCTTAAACCCTTCGATGAAGGACTGAGAAAGATCATAATCCACACTGAGGCCCTCCAGTGAATCCTCTCACAAAAGCACGGACTTAAACATGTTTGAGATTTCTAAGAGGACGGCGAGCAGAAAAACTCACACATTTTCACCCTCCTCCCCAACCCTTCAGATCTTCTTTATCCATACTAAGGAAGCAAAGCAGACCCAATGCCCCCAATCGCCCTCCCCCATTTGAATATTACCTCCCTTTCATCACCACTCCACATACATTTAATTATCACTTGGCCAACCCTACACATTTAGCTCTATACATCTTCCTTCTGATTCAGCTCCTCCAGGCCACGGGTCAGTTTTTTGTTCTTCTCCTGTCATAACCATACAGCTAAGGGTAGTATAAAATCCCTCCTTAACCTGTAAGGGGTTAAGAAGCTCAAACAACCTGGTTGGCACCTGACCAAAAGGACCAATAAGGGAAGAAGATACTTTCAAATCTGTGGGGGAAGGTTTTGTTTGTGGTCTCTTTGTTGTTCTCTCTCGGACAGAGAGGGACCAGGGCAGGAAAAAAAAATCTCCTAAAACCTTACCTGAGATAAGCATCTAAGGTTACAAAAATTGTAAGTAAAGCAAGAAAATGCGTTAGATTATCTTTTGTTTTAACTTGTGAATTTTCCCTATGCTCAGAGGGAGGTTTATTCCTGTTTTTTGTAACTCTAAAGTTGAGCCTAGAGGGGAATCCTCTGTTTTAAATCTTTTTATTACCCTGTAAAATTACCTTCCATCCTGATTTTACAGAGGTGCTTCTTTTACTTTTTTCTTTATAATAAAGTTCTTCTTTTAAGAACCTGATTGGTTTTTAAAGTCCTAGAAACCCAAGGGTCTGGTCTGTGCTCACTTGGTTAACCTATTGGTTGGTATATTATTCTCAAGCATCCCCAGGAAAGGGGGTGAAGGGACATGGGGGGATATTTGGGAGAAATAGGAACTCCAAGTGGTCCTTTTCCTGAATCTTGGCCTAAATCACTTGGTGGTGGCAGCAATACCATCCAAGGACAAGGAAAGGATTTGTGCCTTGGGGAAGTTTTTAACCCAAGCTGGTAGAAATAAGCTTAGGGGTCTTTCATGCGGGTCCCCACATCTGTACGCCAGAGTTCATCTCCCAATTCCCCCTAGTTTGTAACTGTCCTTCTGGTACTAAGGAACCCAAAGTGACCCCACTATCCCAGATGTGGTTGTGCTGCCTAGGGAGGGAATATTACACCGCCCTGTTCCATGACACCTTTGTCCTTTCTATGGTCACATCATACTGATTGGTCCAGGCTGCACTGCCAGTGAATCCCATGAGTTGGAATGTGGAGAGGCTGCTCTAAGAAGAACAAGTTATTCCTTGTGCCCCCAAAAGAGCCCACTTTTCTCCCCTCTTTTTACTCCCCCCATCCTGATTTTCGATTGCAGTACAGATGCTCCCCTTCCAGTGGGGAAAATCCCCAGGGCTTTCCCCTAATGAGCCTATGCAACATGCTGGTATCCTTGATCTTAGAACAGAACCACGGGTCCCTCTGGCACACCACTTCAGCTCCTTAGCCAGCCTCCTGCCTCCTGGAGTGGCAAGAATTAACTTGGCAACACTACAACGCGTCCTGAGTGAGACTCTGAACTCAAACCGCTTTCAGGGAGCCCCAGGCTATAAGGGGGATAGCAGACATCCTGGAGATGATGCTATTTACCTACAAGAGGAAGGGTACAAACTACAGCATTTACATTATGCCTAGTAAGTCCGACAGAACAGCTATACTGTCTCAGGCAACCCCCTGGGGTATCTGTGCCATGGTAGATCTGCCACTAATGCACATGGAGTGGGGAAAGGATCCGAGGGCAGAGGTAAGTCAGGGGACAGAGATGGGGGAAAATATTACTCCCTCGCTCGTAAACCGACAGCATCACATGGCACTAACTTCATCAGGCCAGAGCATATCTGGCAATACATCTGCCATGATTTCAATGTAACTCCTCCTTTCCCTCTCCCCCCCGACTAAGATGGAAACTCTGTATGTGATCTGACCGCAGGGTATGACCCCTCAGAGAGACACAGGTCCAATTTCTTTGAACGCTATTGGAGTCCTGGAATAGAAAATGCCACTTGCACCGGGGCGGCAGAAATGGGGGTGCAGGTGGGGAGCAGGAACAGGGAAATATTGTGGAGGCAGCTGCCATGAGGCCTGGGAGCCGGGAAGCAGGTAGTGGGACCCATCGGGGCTGGAGGGAGTCAGGGAGCAGGTAGGAACCTCTGGGCTGGGACCCTCCTTCCCAGCTTAGAGCCAGCTGCCTGCCCCCACCTTGCCAAGTGTCAGTACCTCTCCTCACTCCCCCTCTTGTCCCTCTGCCCCCCATTTGCAGGAAGCTTTTCTCCCTCCCTTCCACTTTGCACCTCTATAGTTTCCTTGTGACCAAGGACATCAAAGCATTTCACTACATTAAATTAAGCGCCCCAACTACCTGTGAAGTAGGTAAGTGAGATCATCTACAGGTTCTGGATGGGGAAACTGAGGCACAGAGCAGCCAAGGGCTGGATTTTTAGAGGTGCTGAGAACCCAGTCCTACTGAAGTAAAGAGGAGCTGCAGGTTCTCTGCACTTTTGAAAGCATCAGATCCTTGAAAATTTGCTAGAGGTCACATAGGAAGACTGTAGCAGAGCTGGAAACAGAGCACAGAGATCCCACCTCTCAATGCATTAAACCGTTCTGCCCCTTAAAAGCACATAGCGCAACTCGAAATCAGGGCTGACAAGAGGGACAACAACTGTACTGGGGCTCCAAACTCAGGGCCCCCCCAAAAATGACTAACGGCTGTGTAAATAAAAAAAATAGGAGGGGTGGAGCCCCAACAAACATGATGTACCGGGCCCCCAAACTTCTCTTGATGGGCCTGCTCCCAATTCAGGAGTAGCTCATTTGTCAGCAGTGTCTAACGGACGTCTACACAGATCACTGACAAAGGACAATAAAAGGTCACAAAGAAGAACATGGGCTCTACGTTCCCTAGCTTGAAGAGAAGATGAATGAAAACAAGAATACACCCTTTGTTAAAATTATGGCATGTGATAAATGAGCAACCCCCTGATCGTCCCCATCCAGCACTTTAATTAAACGAGTAGCAGCAATCAGGACTTTATTTCTCTTGCAACCTTAGAGGAATCAGTGCAGAGATGCTCTTGTAAAATTCATGCAACAAGTCACAGCTGTAATAAGAACTGCGTAACACCTAGTCATGGTTTTCCCTGTTATCCAGCCTTGAAAATACATGCCAGATCACAACCCCCATAACAACATGCAACGTAAATAACACTGGATGAAACATGTGAAAGATAATTGGAGGCTGCCCTGGGGATTCAGAAAATATTTCCCTTCTTATAGTTTAGCTCTAATTCTAACACAGTGAGAGTCTTAAAAATTATTGATTTCTACATGAGAGACAAGGTGGGAGAGGTAATATCTTTTCTTGGCCCAACATCTGATGGTGAAAGAGAAGCTTTCTAGTTACGCGAGCTCTTCTTCAGGTCATGAGTTCCAAGTGTCTTTCAGACGCCCACAGACTTCTCAATGTCCTTCACTTTAGACCCTAACTTACCATCATTTTGCACAAATTTGGAGTCTTGTTGCTTATTATTGGAAATTATTTCTATCAAACTACAAAATAAATAAAATAATACCACCAAGCACTAATACAGAACACAGGTCTGGTAATGAGTGCTATATAAGGAACTTAAAACAGAGCAATTATCTACTACTTTTCTTCCAAATGGCTCAGGACCCTTTATAAGGGTTGATATTAACCCAATTTTCTAGGTGGGGAAACTGAGGCATAAAGGGGTAAAGTGAGTGACTTGCTCAAAGTTGAACAGCAAGTCAGTAGCAGAGGCAAGGCTATAGCATATATTTGCTGATTCTCAGATCTGGGCTCTCGCCACTGGACATGTTGCCTCCTCACAATTTAAAGAATGGAAAGATTTACCTTGGAGATGCCATTCTCATTAGCTTCTATCTTTTTCTTCATCTGCATCATTTGCCACATGTCAGCCACAGCAGATCCATTCGGAGAGCCACTCTTGGTCCTCTCCAGCAAGTCTGTTCCAGAAGGCAATTTTTCTAGGGCAGCCATTTGCTTCTCAAGACCTTGAACCTGTTCCCCTATTCCATGGACCTCAGACTTCACCCCATGTACCTGAGCCTCCACTCCATGCACTTGAGCCGCCATCCCAACCACCTTGGCCTCCACGCCATGCACCTGAGCCGCTACCCCAATGACCTTCTTCTCTAAGTCAGCATAGGGCAAGTCTTCTGACTCATCGCGCTTGCCCTTCTCCTCTTTCTCCTGCAGAGGCACAGGTTCCAGGGGCTTGGGTTTCTCCTCATGCATCTCGGCTTTGACATCCTGCAGGTTGAGTTGTTTAATGATGGCATGGAGCAAAGTGTGGAGGGCATTAAAATTGACCACCCCGATCTCCGGCGTCCCTATGGAGAGATCAGCCAATTCCAACAAGCTGATCAGAGCCATTGCCCCCCGACTTTAACTCCTGCCCGGTATCTGATGCTGTTACCTTCTCATTCAAATATAAAGCTATTTTCCTCCCCAAATAGATCTAATGACTTGAGCCCATGGGCTCAAATAAGTTTCTCTTCTTCACCTGGTGAGTTATTAAGCAAACAGTTAAAATCAATCCAGGCTGCTCGATCTTCTTCCCACAAGCCCAGCTCAGCTGCACACTCCATCGAATAGCAATTTCCCGGGGAATTTTCCTTCCAGGGATTTTCCCCCAGCCTTTTTTAAAGTTATTTATTTATTGACTTAAATTTCCCTCGACCTGTCTAGGCCTGATCCTCTTGCCCCCCGCCCCCTCCCTCCTGGGCTAATGCCCCTGTCTCAGACACCTGCCGCTGCCATGCCTGACTATGGGCAGAAGCAGGGAGCAGGCTGCTGGCAGCCCAGCAGAGCCATCTCCACTGGGACACACCAACCCCTCTGGCTCGGACCCGCCCCTTTCGCCCTTCCATTGGCTACCGAACACACCGCCCCACCGCCGGATTGGCCACAGCGGCTGCCCATGTGCCTTTGTTTACATCAGCGGGTTCTGATAGCTACATTGTAGCGTCTGGAGTTGCTAGGCAGGGACGCAGCGCCCCCTAGACGTTCTGTGGCTCATTGCGCCTGGGGAAGTAGTCCCCCCCTCCAAGCCTGAATTGAAGCGGCTCTGAAAGGCAGGGAGAAGGGCTGGATCCTGGCCCCACTCCTGGCCGGATTTGAAAGGCTAGGGCTAGGGGGTTGCAGTGGGCCTTTGCCTCTGCCTGCCTCCAGAAACACGTGGGGAGGGAGGGAGGGAGGGAGTTAAGCTGGGGAAAGGGCTGGCTGGGGTTTGGAGTGATGGGGAGGCAGCCTGGGTGCTGAGCTGGGAAGAATGGGCCATGGCTGCCGGAGGACGGCAGGGGTGCTGGGTAGGCAGTGGAGAGGCTCTGGAGGCGTGGGCAGGGGCACTGGAGCAATTTGTAGAGTGGGGGTGCTAAGAGCCATTAAACCAAACTGTAAACCCTGTCGAGGAGGGAAACCGCTTCAAGCCACGGGAGTGGGCTAGCTGGGGCTGCAGGAGGCTGGGCCCTAGCTGGTTTAGCTGCAGGGCCACCCTTCGGTAAAACTCATCAGCCTCTCCTCATTTTAGGGACAGCACAGCAGGCTGTCATGGAGGGTGACCTTAGCCTGAAATTGCTGAGCATGTCAGACTTTACCCATAGAACTCCTCCATACTGGCTCCCGAATACGAACTGCCTCCTGAATGGCCCAGAGGGCTCGGTGTGAGCTTGCAAAAACAAAACTCAAGGAACTAGCCTTGAAAAGGCCACAGTACATTCATAGATGGCCCAACGTTCAGTTTCTGTGACAAATTCACACAGCCTAAGACCAACAGAAATTTGGTCTGCTGATTTTCCGCCCCCAAAATTAATGGAAGCTAGTTGTTACTCAGTAAAACACAATCCTGGCTCATTTGCAACCCAGACCTTGCAGCACTGGGAACCCAACTATAGTGACGGCAGCAGCTTATTACCCACATGGAGGGAAATGCAAGAAGTAAACAAAGAGCATAAGGAGTGAAAAATAAAATACATTTTAGAAATACTTGGTGCGTCAATAAGCTAGGGTTATTCGTACACAAGCAAAAACGTATGTTTAAAATATTTTTATTATTTTGCACTGCAGTAGAATTTGCTGAGCCCAACCCCATTGTGCTAAGCACTGTACAAACACAATGAGAGAGCCTCAGCCTCAAAGAATTTATAGTCTAATTAGACAAGAGACAGAAGGTGGAGAAAAGGGATACAAAATATCAGCGTAAGACTGGGAACAGAGGGAAAGAGAGATGAAGTTAGTGACTACCCCAAGGTCACAAAATCCCAGTCTCCTGCCTCCCAGTTCAGTGCATTAACCACTAGACCATCCCTTCCTCCCTAAAGTGTGCTATTTTAAAAACTAAGCGCGGGGGTGGGGGTGGGCGTAATCACATAACTCACCATCAGCTAATTTGATCAAACTCGAAGGTTGGTGCATGTTTCTCAGGTGCAGCAGTGTAGAAATTCTGCAAATGTAAATCCAATTAATGAAAACTTTGTTTGAAATAGGAATTGCCAGACTGGGTCAGACCAGCAATTCATCTAGGCTAGTGGTTCTCAACCAGGGGTCCAGGGCAGACATGCCAAACTCGTGAACAAAATGCAAAAATTGGGCTTGTTTTTGGCTTAATTGGCTTGTGTGTTGCTTGTTGGCTAGTTTTTGGCTTGTAGCTTCTTTTTTTATTTTTTGATGGGCTCCTGGCAAGCGGGGGCCGGGAGGGGCAAGCAGGGGAGAGAGTTGGGGTGCACAGCGGGCCCACTACAGTCCCAGACTGCACGCCGGGGGGATCTAGTCATAGAGTGTTGAGGTTCTTAGGGATTAGCTTGTTTTGGTCTTGTTTTGAAATAGGATTAGCTTGATTTTTGGCTTATTGTGAAAGTCGGGATGCTTATTTACTATGTGAAAGTTGGCAACTGTGGTCCGGGGCCACCAAGCAGGGCCAGCATTAGACTTGCTAGGGCACAGGGTAGAAAGCTGAAGCCCAGGGCCCTGCTCCATCACCTGGGTCTGAAGCCAAAGCCTGAGCAATGTAGCTTCGCGCGGGCCTCTGTGGCATGGGGCCCTAAGCAGTTGCCCTGGTTGCTAGCCCTTAACACCAGCCCTAGCTTTTATATGCAGAAAACCAGATACTGTGGCACATGTGGGCTGTGGAGTTTTTATAGCATGGTGGGTGGGGGGAGGGGGGGGCTCAGAAAGAAAAAGGTTGAGAACCCCTGATCTAGGCCAACATACTGTCTCCAACGGGGGCCAGTACCAGCTGCATCACAGGAAATAGCCGTACAGTAAGGAGTTAAGGATTAACTCTTCCCCCAGGGAAAGTTTCTTCCTCATCCCCAAGAGGCTGGGTTATGCCCCCAAATTTAAGTGTTTATATGTTCTTTACACATCCTGTTGGTTTTTGTTTGTTTTTTAATATTGTAACTAGGCCTGCGTACCTCATAAATGTGCAGCGCTTTTTTGACTATTGCTGATCTCTTGGCAATATGAGATCTTGTGGCAATGAGTCCCATAGTAATTTTGGGCTGAGTGAAGAATATACTGTATTATCAAAAAACGTGCTTTGCCAGTTTCTCCATGACGACAGGCGTATAGGATTCACAGCATCACATCAGTATCCATCCTTCAAACTTGTGTATTTTGTCTCAAAGTATTTTCTATACTGGTAAAAATATCACTCCATCCACTGCTGCAGTAGTCAGCTCTGCACTGGAACACAGCAGCTGTCTAGCAGTGAAGATCAACTTAGGACAGAAAGTAAATGCTGTTTCTGTATCCATTTGAAAGCACAGGACGTTAGTTTAGGTAAACAGATTGAAATCACCAAAATTAGAATTTGGCCAGGACAGGGATGTTCATCCATTACTCTTATGAGAGAAGCCATGGCCTCCCCCCGGGCACTGTGAGGACTGTTAACGTATTGTTCTGCACCAGCTATAACTTGGCACCTGTTTTTAGGATAATGCTCCCAAACCTCAGTCAGTGGTAGTGTTCCTGTGCTTGTAACCCCAGCACAACTTTCTCCAGCATGACAGTTATTTCCATGGATGGGAATCATCCAAGGGTAGAGGCCTGATCCTATACTACTTGAAGTCAACTAAAGTCCTACTACTGACTTCCATGAGCTTTAGCTCAGGACCTTCCCACGCAAGGCTGGACAGTGTAGTTCAGTTTCTTCAAGCAGGACTGTTCTCTTGGACAGTGAAAACAATGTATTTAGTAATGTGATGGGGAAAAATATTTTCAGACATTCCAACTATTTTCCTGGCTCTAATCCCACTTGTCGTCATTTTTACCTTACGACAGTCTTCCATGAGTCATCGTCCCTTCGGGTTGCTAGGTAAGAGCAAAGCTGAGGGGAGAGTTGTGACAGGATGTGTGTTTTTACAACCGCTCCACCCAGGCCCAAAGCAGGGAACAGTTATTCTGTGCGCACATGGATTAAATATTGATAGGAAAGGGACTTCCATTGTCAGTTTTCCCCAGGACAAGAACCCATTAGCTTCAACACCGAATGAAAGATGCACAGATGCCAGCCTCACTCACATGGAGTATTAGGCAATGAATGCAAGCCAAACATTCTGGCCCTACCGCACATGCGAGGAGCCAGCCCGATTCTAGCTTAAGTAACTCCCCTGCATAAAGGTATTACATGAAGTGCTCTTTAAATCTCATTTCCATATTGTATCAAGGCCCTCCAGGCTAAGATGGATCCCAGCTGGGTTATTACTTTCAATGCATTAAAAAAAAAGTCAGTGGTTTTATCAGGACAGAGCCTCAACATCCAGCAGATGTCAGCACACCACATGAAATGGAGGTGAACATCTCCCCATGACAGTCTATACTCAGTGAGGGAAAGCACTTACCCCCACTTACGAACATCCACTGTAGAGTAATGTTGAGTTCTGACAGCTGCTTGCTTGCAGCCCTCCCAAAAGAGAGGGGCCAGGGATACAGAGGCTTCTGTGTTTTCTGTTCTTCTAACAAGACTGGTCATCCATAGCACAGAGAGGTTGCAGAAAAGTAGAAGGGGAAACTAATCTCTTTTCTACAAATGAGACTATACTAAGGATATTTTAAAAACCAGCGAACCAACCTCACGTAGTCCTCAGTGCAGAAGTGCTTGAGCACAAAGTGATGTTTAAGGGGTGTGTGTGTGTGTGGGGGGGGGGTCTTCTCTCCAACCCCCTGGCCAGGGTTATAACAGGCTGAGCCAAAAACTGCCATCTGGATGTCTCCTTTCCCACCCCTACAACCAAGATTTTGCTAGGTTCAAACATTTGATCTGAATTTCACTGTCACAGTAGGTCTATGGCCCCAGTCACGATAGTATCTGAACACCACCCAAATGTTAATGAACTGGTTCTCACAGCAGTCACAGGTAAGGAAATCCTCATTTCAGCAAAGGGGAATGGAGACACAGAGACTCAGTATCTTGCCCAAGGTCACAAGTTTTAGCGCAGGGCCCTAAACCTCAGGATGAGCCTTTCCGTTTTAATCTGCTTTACAGAAGTAAAAAATAAAATACTTTGGGGCAGGGACCACCTAACGTGCAGTCATTAAAATAGCAGTAACTCAGGGGTTTTGGTTAGGAAAAGTTCCCCAAGCAGATCTCCCTGGGCAGATTGAAAGGATAGCTCACAATACGTATACCACCACTTTGGGGATAGCCCCATCTGCTTTTATACAATTTATACTTTCATTAGAAGTTTTTTTCAGGCATTGCTATTTGTAGAAAACTTTCCAGTCATCCAACACCAAGTCCTCTTTCTAAGATGGAAGCCAACCTGCCCGGAACAAACACTCAGAAGGTGCGATTGACTTCAGACTT